GTGTTCTTTTGGCTCCTTCGATGTACGTCGATGGGCATTTTCCCTTCCCCAACTGTCTTTCCTCTGCCGCTGCATGCAACGTTTCCATGTGCATATATGTGGACATGTCACTTCACATTCATGTCCCTTAAACCACAGTTTTGTTCCCATCAGATCATCTCTGCCCCATTGCACATTCAATACCAAGAAAACTAAAATAATAATCAACACACAGGAAACGATCGAATTAAAGAGAGAAGAAAAAGATGCTTTTGCTTTTAGTTGGAATATTGAAAACAACTTGTCAGAAAGAGAAAGAGAAAGAGAGAGGGTCTTCCTGATCATCATGTTATATTAAAAATAGGGGACCTGAAATCTAGAAAATGGGGCAATTGTTACCTGCCATGTCTAGCTGCTTTTGTTGTTGACAAGTATAGGCCACACGCACATTACTTTTTTTTTCTTTCCTTACTGCCCCTAGCTTAGGTTCTAACATCTTTCGTCCCATCACTACTCCAACTCGGGTTCATCTAAGGTAAAACTTCCGTTGAAGTTTATCGAAATGGTTTAACTTCTTTCATTCAGTTTCTACTTTCTGCCAATATTTGATACGGTGTCTAGGTGAGTTTATCCGTTGTTGGTTGCAAACAGAGAAATTGGATATTCGGAAGAACTTCGATCAAGTGACGATTTAAGTTTGATTTATCACCCCATACAAGACGAGTTACAAGATCAACAACCCTATTACAAGTAGGGGTTACCGTTCAAGTCTTACTCAACGTGAATCAGGTGCAAACTTGAAGAGAATACTAGCTCATAACTAAAAATTAAAAGAAGAGGATCCCTTTCAATTTATCGCACATACATATAACATAGATGATTAAAGTGAGACGGGTCATATAATCAATAACCCTGTTACAAAAGGGTTACTAACTATCCCGTTTTTACTGAACTTGAATTAGGTGTAGAATTGCAGAAAATGCTTTGCTTAGGGTACATTTTATCTTTAGGGTTTGGGCAGGTGGGTTGCAATTATATGGATAAGCTACCATCTCAAATATCTAACAGTCCTTTTTCTTCTTATTTCTTGTCAATTTGGTATACACTTGTTATTGGTTTTGGAGGGTACAGACAGAATCATGTCTTTTAGGAAGATTGTGGGCCAATCTTGCACTACATACTTGTACTTCCCTCCATCGCTACTATTCTAGTTGGTTAATGGGTTGTTGAATCACATTTAATATTGGCAATTCAACCATTTTTTTCATCAAATACTCGGGGTGAGGGTAAAAATCAAATAATAATTTCCTCTCAAAACTTATAGGAAAAAGGATACCAAATGTCAAGTTATCATAGTAAAAATTACAATGACGATCTTTGGTCCTACAACTCATGAAGGTATTTATGTAAACAATTTACAAACTAAGACATCTCGACTTGACAATTTTCTCGAAATAATCACTCACCTTCTCCCAAATAAAAATTCTTCAGTGGTGACTTAATTGTAGAGGCTACCCGTTTTAGATAATTGAATCATCAACTTATTTATAAAAACACTTGGTAAATACCAATATTTTAGCTTGCCATTGCAACAATCGTATTATTAACTTGTCGACGTTGATAAAATTCAATCATCCATTCACAGGAAAAAATTTATATTTTCTACCTTATTATTCAATCCGAATTCACGAAATGATGGGGCTAATATATAAAACCACTAACTAGAATATCAAATAGCTCTTCAAATTCAAGCTTATCGCTACACTCCAAATAAATAAAGTTTTTTTCTGTCCAATTTTCAACGAAACGTCTAAAATATGTGGTGATTAACTAAACAACAATTTTTTCGTATGATTCAGCTGGATCGATCATCAATCGAGCTCTTTTCTCTCATGTATAATTCATCTTCCTAGTTCCTACCACAACAACCAAAACTTTCTCCATCACGTTCACGCTGCCTGTTGTTATGGTCATCTTCTATAACATGCTCCCTACCACAAGCAAAGCATGGAAACCAAACTTCTTTCTTTCTTTATTTTCCGCAAGGTTGGAATGGAACTTTCACGTTGTTTAGGGTGACAGGTAACCAAATGCCTTTAAGGTTAACCAATTAATTGCCTTATTAATCAAACCCCCAAAACCCACATTGTTCATTCATCATCACCCCAAAGTCTCTACTTCCCTTCAACATCATCATTATAATGTGATCTACTAACCTCCCTTTTCCTTTTGTTTATATCAATCTAAATTTGCGCCTAAACTTGTGCTCCTCTACTGACTCCCATCTTCCACCATCACCAATTTTCACGTTCACAAGCTGATGCTTTAAGCTTTGGATCTCAACCTACTCTAGTTTTCTTTCATTCGGTTTCTGAGTCCCTATTAGGGATGGCAATCAAGCCTATAGTCACGGGTATTCAACCGCCCCCGATCCAGTCAACGCGCGGAATCTCTACATTGACCGGGCATGGGTAAAACCGTAAAAAATTTGATGGGTATGGGACGGGTATGGTTTTAACCTCCCCGTCCTATACTCATACCCATACTCATACCCGCCCATAAAAAATATTTCTTCATATATGAAAAATATGCGAATCAATTTGTAACCTATCAATAATAGTGAGTATAACTCAAGAAAAATATATAATAAAAATGTAAATGTGCGTGTGCTACTGTGAGAATGATCAGTGTGAAACCCCGGCCCATGCAGAATTGGGCTCTATACTCCAGGCCCAAAGTAGCCAGATTCAATTGGACAACCGAACCACAGGCCCAAATCCGCCAAATCGCAGTCCATTGGCGAAGAGGTTACATCAATGATCAAACCCAATAAAACGCCTGGTCGAGTCCTGCCGTTATAGAAACCTCACGGCTTCGTCTGCAGCAGCCGGCTACCGATGGCTAAAAGAACAGCTTCCACCGTAAAACAACGCAGCTAGGAGACAATGTTAAGCACCAAGGAAGACGGAGAACGGAATCGACCTGCTAAAGCCAATATCCCTCCTGCTATTTCACACCACCTCACCTAGTTCGATCCCATTTTTTACTGCACACTGCCTGAATACTACGTTATAATCCAGGCTGGTTCCTTGCTAAACATCGACACCTTATGCATTGCTCTTCCCTCTTGAGCTTTCTACAAATACCCATCACCACAAAACCTTCTCTACTTTTTCACCTCGCAAACTGAGAAACAAAGCCATCGAAGCTAACTACTACTACCAACTTGTGAAGAAAACATGGGTCATCACGACGAAATCCACTATGACGATCACCACCACCACCACCAACACCATGAACACCACCACGATGATCACCATCACCATCATGATCACCACCACGAAGCTCCTCCTCCTGCAAGTAAGTACTCAAACCATCGATTCTGCAGCGATGATATTTATCATGGCTTTACAATGGATTTAACACTGCAATGAACTATGTTCTCGGTCCAGTGTATCCACCACCGGGTCACCATGCATACCCACCTCCTCCGGGTCCAGAATACCCGCCGATGGGGAATGCTTACCCACCACCGCAATACACTCCTTACCCTCCCCCACCGCCACAGGCGGCGCCATGTTATGGTCATGATCCACACGCTGCAGTACCGCCCCCGGCTGGTTACCCGGTCATGGTCGAGCAGCATGGGCACCAGCACCAGCCTGTTGCTGCAGGCACTCAGAGCAAGGGAGATGGCTTCTGGAAAGGATGGTATGTATTCATTACCTTTCGCCATCTCTCTTTCATGTTCATTCCTCCTGTATAACTAACCTAGCACTGCTCTTTCTGCCTGAAAATTTCAGTGCTGCTGCGCTATGCTGCTGCTTCGCTTTCGAAGTCTGCTGCGACTAAACAACACGTTGCAAGCCGAATGCAACTCCGACTACCATTCAATGTCAGCTATTCTATTGTTCAATGAAAAGCACATGATACAATATGCAATTTTTCCGGTTCCATTTCGCTCATTATGCTATGTAATGACAGAGCTCTATAAGATTTCAGCTTCCATTTTTGTTCCTTTCACTCACAATCCAACACTGTTCTTACTATTTAAGCACCATTGCCTAGTATCTAATCGCTTACTGGCTGCAAAGTTTGAATCTAGAACGAAAACCTAAATCAAATTGAGCAGTACTCTTAGCTTACACAATCACCATGTTAAGGCTACAAGATTAAAACAAGCAAGTAATTTCATATTGGCTGCAAATGTTCGAACCCAGAAAGAGTAATGCTAACCAAGATTAAACCACAGAAACAGAATCAAACTGCAGCAGTACCCTAAGAATACCAAGTGACAATGGAAAATTGCAGCTAAAAACCTCCACAGAAAGCCAATTCGAAAGCAGAGAATCAACTTCCCATTTCAGAACCTGAGCTTGGAGAAGAACCACCTGTTCTTGCCGGACTTGTACCTCTCCTCGAACCTCTTCTTGATCTCCTTCGCCGTCGTGACCTTCTTGTCCTTGGTCACCAGCGAGTCGGGGGTCACCACGTCCTTCAAATCGACGTCGAGGGTATACCTCGTCGGCATGATGTGGGTGTAGTTCACCACCTTGATGAACGCCTTGACCCTCGACTTCTTCGCTGTTTTCTTCGCCGAGTCCTTGCGAATCACTTTCGCAGGGTACTTCTTGATCCCGGCGACCAGGCAGTGGCCGTACGGGCGGTCGCGAGTGCCGTCGTCGAACGAGCGGACAATAACCGCCTTCCTTCCGGCGTAGCGGCCCTGGAGGAGCACCACCGCCTTGTTCGGCTTCAGAAACTTCACCATCTCGCCCTTCTTCTTGTCCGGATTTGCTTCTGATTTCTTTTGCTTCGAAGCTTTGTTGCAATGGCTGCTGCCTACCGCCGCTGGTTTTAGGTTTTATTGATTAGGTTTAGCGCGAGGGAGTGTAGTGCCGCGAAAATGTGGGCTATGGGCCATTGCAAGCCCAAATAGATTGGGTTTGATCAATAGAAGCCCGCTAACTTTGGGCGGGTATCTTGAATTTTAGGCGGGTATCCACTATCCAGTGGGTGAAGTTCGGGTTCGGGTCAGATCTACCGCTTTCTTATCTGAACCTCTGAAATGGAGAAAAATGCATCTTCCCTTTTCGTGTAATCGTTAACTGGCCATGATGACGGCAGGGTACACCGCTCTGGCTATCGCCGGCGCCGGTATTGGGACTCCTTTATCCGGCGAGTTAAATCAGCAACCGGGTTGTATAAAGTCAAAGCTATTCAGCCGAGTAAGAAGCCGTCCTGCAGATTTTTGCTTTGCCCGGCATCAATTTGTGAGGCAAAAGAAATGCTTCTCGTTACCGAACAACAAGTCGAATTCGAACCGGAGTTTCGCCCTACGGAAAGACGCCGACGACAACTTCTTGAAGGTACGGTTTGGGAAACTTCTGTTTTTTGAAGCTTTTGAATCATTGAGTTTTTACCTTCTTTTAATTTCGTGATTTGGGCAGAATGCGGAAGACGTCGACGAAGTGTTCGACGATTTGTTCAACAAGTACGGGAAAGTGGTGTTCAGAAGCAACGACCAGAGGCCTTCAATCGCCGAGGTTGATGACGATGCTGAAATCTTGTCATGTATGTTGAATTGGGACACACTTCAAAAATTCATTCCTGCATTTCGCTGCTGAGAAATTAAGGTCCTGAAAGCTGATTTTCGCTGGTTTTTGGTTTTCAGTTGCCGTAGCGGTAGCAAAAGTTGCGAGTGATGTGAAAGCTGGCGACATAAAGGTCCTGTTTGTGAAGCCTCTGGTGTACTGGACTCGCTTCTTCATAATCGCCACTGCATTTTCCCGGCCACAGATTGATGCAATTGCGTAAGATTCTACCCATCTAACCTAGTGATTTCATTCCTTTTTGTTTTGCTGGGGAATGGGGAAAGATACCAATCTGGTTACTGAACGTAGTAGGATCTGCTCGGCGCTATAGTCGTCTCGTGTATGGTTGCCCAATGTGAAGCATATGAGCTAGTTCGATTACCAAATCGGTATCTCGCTTCCTTTGAAGCAGCTTTGGTTGTATGATGGCTTGCATTGCAGGTCGAGGATAAGAGATCTTGGTGAGAAGCAGTATGGGAAAGTTCCATCTGGAGACACAAAACCAAACTCATGGACCCTTTTGGACTTTGGTAAGTTGCCTCCCCAACTCCCATTTTTGTCGATGTTGATGGATGTCTGAGAATCACTGATGCCTATGAATTGGTGATGTCCGAGTGTTTTTAGGTGATGTAGTGGTGCACATATTTCTTCCCGAGCAGAGGGATTACTACAACTTGGAGGAGTTCTATGGTAATGCGAAATCAATTGATCTCCCCTTCGAGAATCAGCCTCCTCCATTCCGCGGCTGACAATGAATAGCAAGTATATTTGAACTCTAGTTCGAGTTGTATACCATTCGCAGCTAGACCGAGCTTCTTTTGAAGGCTTGCAGATGCTCGAACAGCCGAAAACTGGAAAGTTTGCAGGGCAGGGATCTTCTTGCTTCGGGAATGGTTATAGGATGGGATATCCTGTCTTTGGCGATGGTGCCATTGTAATGGGTTAGTGTTAGATTACTGGTTTAGTGTGGTAGTTGATGATGTCAGTTGGGAGTGTAATAGCCAAAGTATAATACATTGCACGATGGTTTCTGAAGTAGTTGCAGATACAACCATTTGTAAACAACACTGAATCAACAAGCTTTCAGGCCTTTAAAACTCATTGCACAGTACATTTCCCACAGTTACAGATGATCATTTCTTTTCTTTATCTTTGTACCTTCACTTACACTTTTCATACAGCATGTCCAAAGATCGAATTGGTTACGCCTGGACCAGCAGTTTGCACTCGTTAAGTCTTGCTTATTACCGGAACGCCCATCGATGAAGTTGCAGTAAGAGAGGAGCCAAGAAACCTTAAAAACTAAGCCTGATCAAAGCTCACTGACCAATGCATTACTGCAGCAGGCGTATCTCCTTGTGTGATGAGGCGAACTGACCATGAGGGCTTTCAGCCAAGATCAAGCTTCATGGCCGCTGCAGTGTTCAGGATTGACTTTGAACCAAAATTTGCTGCGGAAGCTTTGCGACGAACATCTCAAAGGCCAGATCCTGGGCAGTGCATAAAGACATTGTCATCAAAGTAGCATAAGAGCAAAGATGTATGGACATAATTGACCAGACAATCAAGCTCAAGCGATGGAATTTAAAAAAGGAGACGTACAGCTACATAATGTCTGAGTGTTGGCTGCCACCTCGTCCAGATTCTGCAAGAGCCATATCTAAATCTTGAGTTGCAGTCCAACCAGGCTCGTATGCTTCGAGAAACCCCATCTTTGCCTTGTTGGGCAAGTCGTGAGGGTGAACGAAGGGCACGCCAGGTGGCCACCCAATCTCCATTCTGATATTGGCACAAGGACTATCTACATCATGAACATGACTCTCACACTCTTTCAAGTTACAAAACTTGAGCTTGATCCCCTTCTTATCAGCAATGTCCTGAACTCTCTCCTTGAGTACCCTCTGTGCCTCGAGCCTCAGCCTCTTTGAAGGCGGTAGAGGCTTGCATCTTGAATTATTACTCTTTTTTCTCTTCATTGTGGGCTTCATCACAGATCCTGTACCAGCATGTCATCGATCCAACGACCTGCTGTTAAAGGATTTCTTACTAAGGCCAATTCCAATTATAAGAAAAACAAAATGTAGATGTGAAGATAAAAACTACAGCAACTAGGTGTCCTAAAATTATGCTTAGGGTGTTATCAGCAACTCATATTCAAAGTATCAACAAGACATTTATTGTTGCATAAGCAGACACTTAGTTATGGTCATATCACTACCATATGTTGCCAACCCAGAATGAGGATTTTGAACCAGAGAGTTCAACTATTCTGCATCAAATTCACATAAACAAGCATCAGGCATATTCTCGTGATAACGCATACCGTCTTGAGAGGAAGACAACCCGAAGCCCTGATATCCATGCTTGTTCAATATATAATCAGTAGTGTATGACCTCTGCATAAAGTCATCCACTAGCACTGGCAGCTGGAACTGAGATTCAACACCATGTCCAGCTGCTCTCATCTCCGTCGAACTAAGATTGGTCATCGATTTCGGCATAAGCTTAAATGTCAAAGAACATCTTCCACACATATTACTCTGCATGCCACTACTAGTATCGGTTCTGTGAAGCGCAGGGTTCACATAACCTGCTGTCGCTTGGTAGAGTGCAAGCCCTGGGAAAACAATAGCTTCTTGAGGACCAAGATCACCATCCACAACAACCCATCTTCCATTAAAGTCTCTTATATGAAGCCCTGCTTTGTCCGACTTAACCAGCGATATCAAGCTCTTGTCGACATGGTGATCATCGTCCTCATACAAGCCACCCATTTGGCCATGAGCTCCCTGAAACGACGGCCTTGCATGACAGCAAACCGACAACACAGAAGAAGATATCTCTCGATCCCTCAAGGGCACATTGTCGAGTATTTCCGCGAAAGGCGAGCTGCGCAGATTCAAATAGAAGCTTATTGCATCCAAGATACCCCGTGCAGCTCTCCCCAGCAGAGCAAAAATGTCAGGCAAGGCTCCAGGAGGGAGGAATTCAACGGAGTTGCTTGAAGAATGCTCGTCTGGAGGAGTTAAACCTGGTCTGTAATCGTATGTCTCCTGCCACAGCTGAGGATCGGCGTAGTAACCAGACGTCCTGCACCACTCGCGGGAATCGTCACTCTGAATCGCGTCGGGGAACGATGGCCTCTGGTGGAAGTAGAGGCGCGCGGAATCCAACCCCGACCTCAAGAGAGCTCCGTCGCTGGAGGAGAATTGAATGATGGCGGCGGAGTACTGAGCGAGAGACTGGGACAGAGTCGAGACTGATAGCTTGTAGGAATCGGAAGGGACGCCGTCGGTGGCGATTAGATCACTGAGCTTCACTCGGCCTAATGTCAGCAGGCCGTTGGCCGCCATGAAAGTACTGCTCCGCTGGCGGGTGAAGGGAGACCAACCAAAGCTTGGAGGAAATGTAAAGAGCTCGCAATCAGTCAAACTAGAGGCGGTTTCTACAATACTTCCTGGAGGAGCGACAATGGCGACTTCAGCAGACAATGATTGCTTCGCGAATGGTGAAGAATGCTTGGAATAAAGGGTTAATTGCGAATTGGGAATTTAGGGTTTGGACAAGAGAGGCCAAGGAGGTAAGCATTCTTCATCTTTCTTCACCGTTGCATGATTCAGCTGATCTCTACTCTACCTGTCCCCTCCCCTGATTTTCATGCCACGTATGTTCCTTTCATTGTATATTTTTATTTCGTTGACGGGGTCAAGTACCCGTGATCGCGGATTTGATTATCATTCTTATAAGATTTGTTTCTCTACCTATATAGAACGAAACATTTGAAAAAGTGTTAGACTTAGGACATAAGACGATTGTTGGGATCATGTGTAGCGCCTAACTCATCTAGGTATCGCTTAAGTGTGTCTAGGCATTAGAAACAAAAATACTAGTAAATGACGAATTAAAGAGCAATTTACATCACTTCATTTAAAATGATTAATAACTTACTTAACAACTAAAAAAATAGTCGATAAAGAAAAAGAACAAATAACTATCAAGATCATGGAATCACATCTCACAAAATTATTGAGCTATTTACAAGATTGAGTATATGGCACAAAATTATTGAGCTATTTACAAGATCGAGAAAATATTAAGTTTATAGATGTTAATTTTCTCCTCCTGTTGGGCCCATAGTTGAGCGGTGTTGGGCTTTAGGCCCAATAGGAGTAAATCGGGCAAGACCCAGCGGAGAACCCAAGGAGGGAGCGTTCATAGGGAAAAGAGAGTGGCGGGTGGCTGGCCTAGGACAAGCGAGGGGATAGACCGCCTGACACAAAGTACCGTTGGTGACAGGAAAATGAGATCTTCCTAGGATATTCGCCTCGAAGACCACAGGACTAAGCATTAATTGTCCGTCGTGGGCGGTTTAGATAAAGCAGAGCGTGTCTAGGGCGCCTGACATAGCATTTAATGCCCCAAACCCAACCTAACTGACTATAAATACCTTCATACCTGCATTGATGGTAACTCCACTGCTTCCTCTCTCTCTAAACACGAACTCAAATTCTCTCTTATTTCTCTAACTTAAGCATTGAAGAGTGTCCTGGGCAATCGCCCACAGACCCTTGTCTTGCAAGGATCAGGAGTGCACCCACCACCTAAAACAAACGCTTCGCTCGTTCTTCATCAAACCACCTAGAACATTCTATGCTCAAACACCTCCCGATTTTGACAAACTAGCTCTGCCTAATTATGCATTAGCGAGACCCAAGTATCGTCTTATTTCATCAACACACTCTGGATATTTAACTTGCTATGGAACCTCTAGTTTAGAAGTTATGGCATTGTCCAACGCTTATAAAACATATAATGTGATAGTAGATGCAAAAATAGTTCGTCATCCTCACATTATTACAAGATAACTCTCTTGTTCGACGACAGGTAGAAACTTGGTTCATCGATCTACCTGGTGGTTCTAGGAACGTCATTTTCAGTACTATAGCTGGGATACGCCAGCAGCAATGACTAACTCGATAGCATGAATTCAGGAGCAAGCAAAGAACGATGAAAGTGTACAAATAGGTAAATCCGCCGCGATTCTAATACAAACTAACGAATTCCAAAAAGTAACAGAAACTAGCAAATGGAGTAACATACAATATGATTACAATATGCCGATCAGAGTAATACAGCCAACGAGACTCCAATTAGTAACAAGAGCTAAGGAGAGTCGATATCCATCATTTCACCAAACCAAAATACCATAGATGCAACTAAAGCCCGAAAAACATGGTAACAAAACTAACAAGAATGAAGAGCCTATGGCTTTCGAGGCGGTGAACTGCTGCTGCTGCTGTTACTGCTGCTTCTACCCCTCAAGGGCCTGCGTATAAGAATGAAACGGAAAAGATCATCACAATCAGTAGTGTTCTTCATTGTTGCTGATATGAGAAGGAAGAACCCTAGGATCTCAATAGTGTTCTTCAAAAGAATTGAAGGATTTATCCACGACATAACTAACTGGCCTAAGATGGATAAGGGCATAGAGAAGAATCGTTATAATGGAAAACAGCTTTTACCTTTTAGGACTGCGGCTCCTTGAGATTTTACGAGCCACCTATTAAGAAGAGGGCAGTACTGTTAGATAACATAACCCAGTAGTTGTACCATATCTCACTAAATTAAATAGATAATAATGACAAAGTATATACCTTGCGCACTGGGCTAGGCGAATCAGAGTAAGATGATGACCTTCCACGTCTTGCAGCAGGTCCTCGGCCTCTGTAAGTCAGCAACATACCACTATCAGAAATGTAAACAAGCTATGAATGGTTCATTAAAGAATTCCCAGCAATGTAACAACCAGAGGCTTGCATTCCAACCTATAGAGAAGAGAAATAAACTTTTCGATAATGCACAACAGAAAATACAGACGACAGTAAAGTGAACAGTACACGGACAAACATTTCATATCAATGTACTTCTTACCTCCGAGGAGAGAGCGATCTAGATCGCGAGCGTAGAGGCCGACGAATTGGTGAGCGGCTTCGTCTACGGAGAGGGGACCTTCTTGGAGGAGATCGGGCACGTCTAGGAGGTGGTGACCTGGTATATGAAAGAGAAACACTTAATAAATACACCACCCATTAAAGGACAGCATTTCAAAAAACTTGTCGCCCATGAAATTGTTAACAATATGATAACAGAAATACAGTAGTTCAGGTGAGCATACCGCCTTCTTGGAGGTAGAGGAGAACGCCTACGAACTGGACTTCCACGTATTCTCCTTGGAGAGTTCCTGCAGAGGCAACAGTTAGTAACCAGGATTGAATTACTTCACAACAATTAACAAGCCGTGCAAAAAGTAGAAAGCACACCTTGGAGGGGACCTATATCGCCTTGGTGGAGGAGAGGACGAACGACCTTTAGCCCCTGGGGACGCAGGCCTACGTCTTGGAGGGGTCTCCCCCCGACGAAAAGGTGGTGAGTCCACGCGGCGACGAGGAGGAGAATCAAGACGCCTGCGTGGTGGAGGTGAATCTGGTGGTGGGCGTCTAGGAGATCCGCCTCTTCGGCCAATAGGAGATCTTCTTCTTGGAGAGACTACAAGTTTCCAAGGAAATCCCAACATCATTTGTAATTAGGATATAAGGAGCATAGATAAGGAAAAGTTAGCAACTTTGCATCACAATTTTATCTCAAACAATACATACGTTCTCGTGGACGTTTTGGTCCATCCTTGTCAACATCCGCACTGGCACCATCAGTTTTTGGAAGATCTCTTTTTGGAGCACTGGCTACAGGCTTTGCAGGTGGTGAAACCTTTTGTTGTCTTGGAGGTAATGTAAAACGAACTCGCACAATATTACCATCAATTTGCCCCTGAACCAAGAAATTTACAGAAAATCTTAGTGTATATAAGTTAATTCCTAGCAATGAATTTCTGCTCATTATTAGTATAACCTACCCCGTCCATGTGTAACAGAGCCTTCTCCGCATCTGCTCTGACCTTATACTCCACGTATCCAAATCCCCTAGGAAGATTAACCTACACAGTTGAACGGGGAAAAAAGCAACAGGATTAGCAGCAAGGTTATGCATTTTTACCAAATTTTTAACATAGTTATGTCAACTTACAACTCGGTCCATTGCAAGATCCACATTCGCGACTTCACCATAGACACCTGCGTCAAAAGAGAAAGAAAGATATGAACAATCACCACCGATATAACTCATAGCTGCACCAATTTACTACCACCGAAGTCTGACTTTAAGCGTATTAAGAAGCTCCACTGATATCAACATACAGACACAACGAACAGAACAATCATGTTTCAAATGGCTTCAAGTGGAAATCCATCGGGCAGAATAGAGAGTGGGAAGATGAAGAGCTTACTGAATATTTCTCTCAAATGGCCAACATGCACATTCCTACTCAGCGAGTCAACATGAAGAGTAAGAGACTCGCGAATTGGAGAAGCTTTCCTGCAAGAAATAAGGTAACAAATCTGGGTAAGCGTCCTTCAGAATCAAGCAGCAAAGGAGTCATTGTGTAATAGTCTAATAGAGCATTAGATTGGAAACGTCATCCATCCAGCCAATAGGTCATCAAAAATTGAAAACATTTGTTTGAGACATATTCCTACTGCTGGCCCCTAATGCCAACAACTAGCTACTGGTACAAAGAACAATAAGCTTGGACAATTCTATTCTGCGTCAGGTAAAGATTCGCAGACTCTAACAGCATAACGAGGGCAGCTTGCAAATGCTAATGAATCAATCCACAGTTGAAGAACTGATAAGCAGACTGACCTTGGTGGCGGAGATGCCTTCTTCACCTGTGCAGGCGGGCTGCGACCTCGTTTAGCTACTTCAGCGGGGCTGTGCAAGTGAACCAAAAACATAGAAATTGAGACGATGATGTTCTAAAGCTTCAATGCGCATAACAAATACACTCAAACAAGGCAGAGGAACTGCGAAATTCATAGGAAATCAGTGTTCCGACAGAAAGAGGAACGAGCGAGAAGAGACTGCGGTTACCTCTTTCGTGGAGGACGAGGGCTGCGGCTGCCGGAGCTGGCGCTGCGAGACGGAGAAGAAGAGGAGATCGACCTTGACCGCGAGGGAGATCTCGTACGGGAACCAGAGCGCGAGCTGGAGTCCGAGCCGGAGGATGAACGGGAGCGGGACATGGACCTCGACGGCGGCGAAGGGCGGCCTCGGGATGGTTTCGCCATCGGGGGAGAGTCGGATTTTGAGCGCTTCTTGCAGTGAGCAGAGCGAAAAACCTAAACGAGATAAACCCTCCTCGATTAGCTGATTGGAGAGATACTTGAACTCAAGAATGCACGGTCAGTAGAGTTATTAAGCTAAACAAGACAACAATGTCGTTGTAGTATAGTGGTAAGTATTCCCGCCTGTCACGCGGGTGACCCGGGTTCGATCCCCGGCAACGGCGATTGTTTGTTTTGGGCCGTCAAAATTATTGGGCTTTCTATTTTTGGCAGAGTTATTGGGCTTTTTATCTTACCAACTAAATACCTGTTGATCTGGGAAAATTATGCTTTTGCTTAATGGAGCAGAATTTTTTTGGTACAAATGAGTTACAACAGGAAGCAAAATGACAATACACAATAGATATATCAAGACTTCTTTATGCATGTTTGATAAGGCAGCCCCTAACTCTTTATTTAAACCATTACTACCATTTATTTCAAATAATATTTTTATATATTGTTTTAATAATTTTTATTTATTTATTGATGTTTAATTTGCAGTTTATTACTTAGTTGTGAAAAAATTGGGCTACATTTTCCCCCATAACAGGGTCATGATCATCGATGGTTTATAATAGGATGCTTGATTTTTGCTAAGAAACTTAATATGTACATTTTCCCAAGGGCTATTTTCTCTTACTTCATCTTCTATAAATATCCCATCATCCATTGTAATTATTAAAAGGAAAAATAAAAAATTTGTTAAAGCTGTTGAAGTCGAGAGTTGAATCTGAGATGGATCTGGAGATGAAGGCAGGAAAGCTGAAGAAGAAGTCTTGGCGTGAAGATGGAAGTTATGTATGAAATTGTGTCGTGATGGTCATTTTAGTAAGTTTTAGTCCTTATGTTCTATTTAGAGTCATTTGAGTCCAGTTTGAGCTTGTTTAGTTTGTTGCACAGACAACTGATGAGTCAGTTCGTGTGGTAGCTGGTTTGTAGGGATGTAGAGATCATGTATTTACAGTTCTCGTTGGTTAAAGAAAGAAACTGTTAGATTGCATTTCATTGGATTTACCACATTTTGCCTATATTTTACTCAGACCTCAGTTCTGTCAATGTGAAACCCCAATGCTTAAAGATGCTCAGAGAAGAGTAATATTCTCGTGTGACATAGGAATTTATAAAAGAAACAAGGAAATAACCGAAAGTCTTATGAGGAGAGCAAGCTAATTAAGTTGCCTCCGCCGCCGGAATCGAGGAGTTCAGTCTTTCAGGAGGGCGGCGAAGCTGACAGGTGTCCAGTATCTGGGATTCCGGCCAAAACAGGCGGCAGAATGCAGCCTGGACCCCTCACTCGTGAGCAAGTAAAGGTTCCAAAAGAAATACTCGTCGCGATTCCCGCACAGAGCAGAAGTCGGCGAACACATTGCCCTTCGGTTCCCACAGCACGATGCTCTCACCTCCTTCAAACCTGAAAGTCGAGAAATCAGTCGGAAAAAAGGGTAATTAATCAAACATGAGAGCTACTATCACTAACCCTAATTAACGAGCGGGAGTGTGTTAATCAATAATCACTAGTTTACCACATCCAGGGGAACCAGGTGCATTCGCGATGACGTCGAAATAGAAGTTGGGGGAATTGCAGATGGAATACCGGAAATCCGGATATGTAAGGCGTAGCAACCTCAACGCCGATGCAAGGCGGTTGAAGGCGCCCAGCGACAGCGAATTAGATCTGGCGTCGCATTCGCTGCTGCTGTTCGACGAATTGTAGTAAAACGACGAGCATCCAACTAGTGATGGCGCCACGATCCCGAACACTCGACCTCCAAGTGCGTACAGAGTCTACCAGCCAAAGCCAATGACTAATTAATAATCATCATCATCATCACTTAGTTAATGATAATTGAACCTCGGTTAATTACGTACACGAATATAATCAACATATTGGGCTATGTACAATCGGAGGAAGCGAGGGTCGGAGCTGGGAGGGGCATTCGCCCGTTGCTCCGCTATGTCAATGCTTCCGGTGGCCAACAAGAAGAACGACTGGGCCAGAAAATTGCCTGCAGCTACTGGGCCCAGTAAAGCTATCAGCCTGGGCCGCACTACCGCCCCGAACTGATCGATCTGCTGCCCTACCGTCACAAGCGACTGCCCATGCGATGGAAATATATGCAAGACATTAATTCTTATATACTTGGTGATTTTATCGTAGAAAATAATTTGAGTAAGAATATGATATCTAGATTTTGAATTGATTGCCCATGCGATGGAAATATATGCAAGACATTAATTCTTATATACTGGGGTGTTTTATCGTAGAAAATAATTTGAGTAAGAATATGATATCTAGATTTTGAATTGATTGCCCATGCGATGGAAATATATGCAAGACATTAATTCTTATATACTGGGTGGTTTTATCGTAGAAGATAATTTGTGTAAGAATATGATATCTAGATTTTGAATTGATTGGAGTTGGTATCTGATACTATTCCTAAACCCTTAAATATTAAAATCTGGTTCTTAATTCCATAAATTCCATACAATAAGATAAATTTAATTAGAAATAAAAATCGACGGTCATGATTCATCGCAATATATGCAACAAATTACATGTGCAATTTTAGGAGTTATGCTCTATGATTTAAATAACTAAGACCTATGATTCACTGATCAAGAGTTAGGGTATAGTATCATTCGCAAAAATCCTCTTAATTGAAAATCTAAATAACATTTTCCTACTTGTACACTAGATTTTACTTAAATTAACATAGAATTCACCTTATATATACTAATTATTACTCTAAGTACTATTTACGTGCGCCTACTTGGAAAAATAAACCGCCCTGTCCTGTGGAGTTGAAAATGCCAGACAATGTGGAACCGAAGCTGACACCTCGGCTCGTTATAACCCGGTCGAACCTCTTGGACGAGTTCACGACGGCGAGGAACGGCGGCGGGCTTTCGTCGTAACCCAGCGCCATTGCTGTTCAGTTTGATCAAATGTAGCATAACTGAATTTACCGACATTGAAGTAATACATACGAAAGTGCAATAAGATCATGAGAATCAGCATATATACCCACAAAGTCAGCCACAACCCAGCAATTGCTCAACCTGCCGGTGGGCAACGGAGGGTCGCAATCGATCCCATTGAACGGCTTGTTGCCCGGTGCAGAGGAGTTCAAGATTGCGTTGGTGCCAACGTCTGCTTGGCCGCCGCCGATAGCGAACATCGCCGGTGGACTGCGAGTAGTACCATAACTAGGATATGATGAGAGACACTGGATCGGCTTGAATAATATCATAATCACGGTCAAGAAGAAATGAACGACAAAAGCCGACGACGAAACCACATCTTCGGCGGCCATTAATCCCGACGAGTGTTGCCCTGAAAATGGGCTCTGATTCTGCTTTTATATATATGGCAAACACGTCTGCTAGTTGGTCTCCATCTTCACGCTGCTGAGAGAAGCAAACACGTCTGGGAAGATGATTAATGAATGAATATGATTCTGACGGCTGAACTATTTATCTATTTCAATTGATTGGTCATGTGGCAATAATAAAGTACCTGAGGTTTTTGGCTTGATGTTACTAGTACTCCTTGAATATTAATTAATACTATTTAATTTATGATTGAATCTCCAAGGGTTAGATGGTAAATGAAAGATATAAAAATGATTTTATCGTTTAGGAATTTGTTACGGTGACCTAGAGAAATGGTCTACTTTCACTAAGTGGTCGACTACTTTTTAAGAGATTCGTCTACCGCTTTAATCAATCGTCTACTTCTTCCATTAAGTTATCTCTCGCTTTCAGCAACTGATCGACCTGAAGAATCATTGTTAAAGAATGAAGTAGTCTATTCCGAAACCATTCTTTCTAGGTCGCATGTTTCTTGCTCGTACATCCTCTAATCACCGCGTCAATAGTGCATGGATGCGGTCCCATAAGATCCATAACATATTTCAATATCGTCCAGATCAAGCCATTGTACTCATATATGCAAAACAAGTAGTAATCCATCGTTTCTTCTGCTTTATTGTATAAATCGCATGTGCTAACAAGACTCCAACCTCTCTTCTTGAGGTTGTCATGTGTGAGGATCCTCTAATGCATTCATCAAAAGTCCTCCTCAAACAGGGGATACCTCACACCACATCATTCCTTCACACTTTTGTCGAACATACTTCACATCAATTTTGCCACCCCCGCCTTCATCCTCGACGGTTGTGCCGACGTCCAGGCTAGTTGGTTGTTGTCGTAGAATGCCCAGAACACTCTCGAGAACCCATGTTCTTTCGTGTCATCATATCACATTCACAGTTTCACGCCCTCCATCTCCTCACCAACGTACGTCACCTTCCCGACCAGGTAGTACCATCCATGATTTCCATCGGTCTTCTCCTCAAATTCTTCCAAGTCAAAACTAATCGCAGCGGACCTCGATTTTGCCTGCGGAACCGACCTCAAATTCTACGAGGAATAGTATCCAGCGACCAACGGGCTCCCGGGCTATGGCCTTATCGACAACCAGGAAGGTCGGCGCCATGATGAATGCCTTTGGTACTCTCATCCTCTCTCGCAATCAGAGTTAGGAAGATTTCGTCGTAGAAGAAACAAGACATTGAGAATTCAAATTTTGAGTTTTTGATAGAATGAGAAAATCTCAATTTTATTATAGATAAATTTTGAGTATCTTTAGTCTTTAAACAAGAAATTATCTTTTTACCATCAACCTAATTCTTTAAGAAGCATCATTTTGAAAGCTATTACACATAGTATGTCAACTATCATTTTAAGTATGTAAAATATGTGAAGTGAGTTTTCAAAGAAACTTATCTAAGAGGATTGAAAAATAAAAAATTAACACCATTTTGATGTCCACTTATAAAAAAAAAGTTATAACCACAAGTTACACGAGAAATCTTACGTATGGGTCGTGTGAATCTTTATATGATTTTGAATATCATTATTATAAAAAATCATAGGATAACGACAATAAAATATGAATTGGGTTAATTTGAATGTTTTTATTCATTATTTAACGTGAATAAATATATTTTTTTGTATCCTTCACCTCGAAGTCAAACCCGCCAAGTCTAGTAGTCGCTTGCGGAGTACAGTGGAGAGTGGAGATGGATATACTAATATGAGGTTATAACCTCAAAAAAGAAACCACCTCAAAAAGGTTATAACCAAAAGTTATACGAGAAATCTTACACATAGGCTGTGTGAATCTTTGTATGATTTTGAATAACATCATTACAAAAATCATAGGACGATGACGCTGCCCAACAACTTCTCCAACTTTTCCCTTTCGTCTCCAAGAAAACACTCGTCGGCGGTCTCCTCTATCTAACCTCTCCTGGTTCTATGTCACGCCGCCAATCTTTCTTCTTCATCTGAAACTCCAGTTAGTTCATAATCCAGCAATTTGCTCTGGGATTAAAGAAAAAGGTTCCAGGGTTTCAATTGATCAAGGGATCGAGCTACTGGGAGACGCCATGATTCGTATTGATAGGTTGAGCGGCTTTCCAGATGCTATTTTGAATCAGGACACTATAATATGAATTGAATTAAGTTGAATGTTTTTATTCATTATTTAACATGAATAAATCTTTATTATCGTAATATTGAAATAAAAGTTTAAAGACCATTAATTAGAGTTCACAATGAACTTATATATTATGAAATTTACTAATGAAGAGTAAGATAAAAGCTAAATATTGAGTGGTTATGTGAAAGAATATATCCTTATTGCCAGGTCATGATTTCTTAAATCTTTATTGAAATCACAAATAAGAAAATTGAAAATTATTTTTAGGAATGGATTACAATGCAAGACATTGAAACATTCATGAAAGACATGTGTTACAACAATGTGAAAAACATCAAGAATGTAAAATCATTGAGATACTAGATTAAAATTGATTAAATTATTAAAAATGAAAATCAATGGGGCTCGTTCAAAACTAGTGTATAATATGTTTTAGTCTCCAAGTTTTATCTTCTCCCCCTTTATTGATGTAGTAGTTATTATAACTCCTCTATCTAATAACACAAAAAGAACTATTCAATGATTAGTTACACAATCCACAACGATGTACTACTGGTACAATTCTCATCGCTTGTTTATTTGTATGTTTTATGCAATTATGTCAACCTTTTAAGTTTTATCATACATTCATTCTTGTTTGTGTGAGTTCATAATGCATACCCACCAACAAAAGCATCTCGAAACTCGAGAGTGAAAGAGAATAAGGGAGAGTGCAGCTAGTGTTTCTCGTACCCATTGCTTTCCTTTTATGCATTCTCTAAAAGAGATATTATGCCCCTTGCTTTTTCCAAATATAAAAAATCTACCACCATCTTCTTTTTCATGTGAGTAGGCGGTTAACTGTTAAATCTTCACAAATCGACTGACGATAACAATTTTTTGGTTGACCGCTAATTGTATTATCATTTAACGATTAACCGCTAAGAGAACCAACTATCACTCTCCTCTCTAAGAATAAGCTCTCAAGCTGGCCGCGTCGGCTCTGCAAAACAAATCTGGCCGGGTCAAGGTGCCAGAACCCGCCCACAAAGCTCCTCCAAACTCCAAAGTCCAAACCCTGCAAAAACCCTACCGGTAAAACCTCCGCGACTCTGCTCTTTCTCTTTTCCCACTCCCAACCCTTCACTGCAACTGTCTTTCTTCCCCTTCAAGCCAGAACCTTCTCTACCGCCCAAAAAAGCCCTCAAATTTATTCCCACAGCTGAAATTCCCCTCTCCCAAGCCTCGCCCGCATATGGTTCATCTTCCAGTCTAGCACCAGAAGGAAGAGCAGCGTAAGAAGAAGCCCCCGTCCCCCAAAAATGGTGAAAGCGTCTGCAATTGGGCTGGTCTCAGCCCTTGCGGCCGCTGCTTCAATCTCCCAATCGAAGCACTCTAAGATTGCTTACGCCGATGGCCCTACTTTCAACTTCAACCCATTCTCCACTAATCCCCAGAATGGTGCTAACCCGCCTCAGAACTCCCCGCAGTCGCACGAATCGCCGCCGGTGGACCCGGCGCTGGCTGCTCTCGCCACTGATTCCGTCCCCAAGGGTTCCAGAAATGACAACCCGAGAACTTCCTCCGCTGGGTTTGACCCAGAAGCCCTCGAGAGGGGCGCCAAGGCCATCAAAGAGATTACCTCTTCCTCTCACGCTAAAAAGGTTCGAACTTTGACGAGGCTTTTCTAGTGAAGTTGAATGATTTGGCAATCATGGGTTGTTCCCAATCTAGAGAATATAAGGGATTACTTATTGGTGTTGGGGGTGTAGGTGTTTGAGGTATTGAAGACGCAGGAGGAAACTAGGCAGAAAGTGATGGCTACTAAAGCTGCAGAGTTCAAGGCTGCTCAAGCTCAAGCTGAAACTGTAAGATCCTGCAGAGCTTTTTAGGGGTTTTGTGGGATTTTGCTTGTGGGGTAATCAATATGTTGTTCTGAATTGCTAAGTGTGGTGATTTGGCAGGAAAGGCAAAGGGTTATGTATGATGAGCAGAAGAAGTTGGCTTCACATCAAGCCCAAGTTAAGTCGCAGATGGCTCGATATGAGGATGAACTAGCAAGGAAGAGAATGCAGGCATGTATATCTATAGATCAATGTGAATATTGACATTGATTGATTAATGGCATATTAAGGAAGAGGGGTTCAAGTGTTATTATTATTTATAATTTTATATTGGCAGGCTGATAATGAACACCAAAGAGCGAGGAATCAAGAGCTCGTGAAGCTGCAAGAGGAGTCATCGATCCGGCAGGAGCAAGCTCGACGAGCTACAGAGGAACAGATCCAGGCTCAACGAAGACAAACCGAGAGGGAGAAGGCCGAGATAGAGCGAGAGACAATCAGAGTGAGAGCTATGGCAGAGGCAGAAGGGCGAGCCCACGAGGCAAAGCTGGCTGAAGATGTCAACAGAAGAATTCTGGTTGATCGTGCAAATGCTGAACGAGAGAAGTGGGTTGCTGCCATCAATACTACGTTCGACCACATTGGCGGTATAGGAACTTTGTCAATTATGTATGCTAGTGGTCCTATTCAAAGAACTATAATGGGTTCATGGTTGAGAAAGACTGTAACACTGATGAAATGTGATATATTTTGTAGGGGGATTGAAAGCGGTTTTGACTGATCAGAATAAGCTGGTTGTTGTGGTTGGAGGAGTGACCGCTCTTGCAGCAGGAATTTATACAACAAGGTAAAACATTAAATTGGTCTCACCAGTCACCAAGATTCATATGCATGCCAGCAAACTGTCTAGCAGACAAAGAATGATTCATCTTGATCAAGTTGTAAATTATCTTTATGTACATGTTGTATGAGGAGTTGATTTGTACATTGGCCAGATTTCCGTAGTGAAGGGTTCCATATTATGGGCAGTTTGTGTCTTTTTATAAATTGTATGATAAGAACTACAAGTGGATAACGACATATTTCAAGGGCGTTAGTTAAAACATGTACAGTACAATAAATTCTTGTAAGCTCATGGCTTATGCTTTGCCTTTTTCTCATCACTGCAGGGAAGGTGCGAAAGTGATGTGGAGCTACGTAGATAGGATACTAGGACAACCTTCCCTAATCAGGGAGTCCTCCAGAGGGAAGTACCCTTGGTCTGGAATTTTCAAACGCGGCATGAGCACTTTGACCTCCAAAGGAGCTCCTGCTCCTAATGGAAACGGGTTCGGGGATGTCATCTTACATCCTTCTCTCCAGAAGAGAATTCAACAGTTGGCTAGTGCAACTGCTAATACGAAATCTCATCAAGCACCATTCAGGAACATGCTCTTCTATGGCCCTCCTGGGACTGGGAAAACCATGGCCGCCAGAGAACTCGCTCGTAAATCAGTATGTTTCTATCCAATAGCTATATGCCTAAGCTCAATGTTCCGGAATTCAAATGGGTTGGAACAGGGAAAGCTCTGGCGTTTGATCGACTATTTAACGCATCAGCTTTTCTTATGGCTACACTAGCTTGGTAAATTTTCCTCACAAAGTAGGCGTTTTTATTGACCTTCTACTTGGTCAAATTTCTGTTTTTTGCAGGGATTAGATTATGCATTGATGACTGGTGGTGATGTTGCTCCATTAGGCTCTCAGGCTGTTACCAAGATCCATCAATTGTTTGATTGGGCGAAGAAGTCTAAGAGAGGCTTGTTGCTGTTCATAGATGAAGCAGATGCGTTCCTATGCGAGTGAGTTTATACTTACCTAGGCAACTTTTAGGGGTTAGATTCAATTATCATGTTGAACTCATAACTTGGTAGTGAGACCATCAAATTAAAGCACCAAAGGTTTCTCTATGTATCATATAAGTGCCTTCACTATAATACAAATAGGGAAGCTCAGTGACCAAATTGGTGTTTCAGACCAACTTTTCTGGATTCGGGAGTTCGTTTTCCACTTGATATCCTTAGTTAACATGATCATCCTAGTTAGAACAACCAGCTCCGTGTCAATCAAATGGTCTTACAGCTGAAACTTCCTTCCAAAATGTTTGCAGGCGGAACAAGATTTACATGAGCGAGGCACAACGAAGTGCGCTGAATGCACTCCTCTTCCGAACTGGAGACCAGTCCAAGGACATAGTCCTAGCCCTAGCCACGAACAGGCCCGGAGACCTTGACTCAGCTGTGGCAGACCGTGTGGATGAGGTCCTCGAGTTCCCCTTACCCGGTGAAGACGAACGGTTCAAGCTCCTGAAACTTTACCTTGACAAGTACATCGCTCAGGCAGGATCGAGACAATCCAAGGGCAACTGGCTGAAGAGGTTGTTCAGTAGACAACAGCAGCAAAGAATCGAGATCAAAGGGTTGACCGACGATATCCTTAGAGAAGCAGCAGCGAAGACCGAGGGATTCTCCGGACGAGAGATTGCGAAGCTGATGGCTGGGGTTCAAGCTGCAGTGTACGGAAGCCATGACTGCGTGCTGGACCCGAATCTGTTCCGGGAAGTAGTGGACTACAAAGTTGCAGAGCACCAGCAGAGGAGTAAGCTTGGGTTGAAATCGGATGGGAAGAGCAACTGATTTGGGTTGTGAGAGAGGTTCTGGTGTTTGTGGCGGATGGTATCACTTTGCTGCTCATATGCTAACCAGAGAAGCCAATGGATTGGTTGTTCTTGCTTCATAATGTGAGTTATGATCGTCATATTAATCCCCGTGATTGAATTTGTCTGAAAATTTTGCTAGTGGGATCGATAGATAATAATAATTCTTTTCTCATGCTTTGATTCTTGTCATTTTGTCCTGAAACGGAAGGATTAAGGATGTGAAGCATTGCACTATCAACAATGGCACTACTTTCAAAACAATAAATGAGCATGATATACTAGTTGATAGTGTTGGTTAAATTAAAGAGTGAGGTCACTAGATATGAGATCATGCTTTATCACAATTATTGCTCCGACTTCATCAAGATTTTGTTACGATTTTGTCATTAAACTAGTATTAGTCTCGTTGTTTCAATCTCCCCTCACGATACAAAGATTGCTTAGAATCATATAATAATAAACTGAAAGCTATTTTTTGCATCATGGATAATCCATTTAAGGATAGAAACGAATTACAAGACACTTGATAACCACACACAATGGTCGAAACTAGTCAACCTTGGTAAACACTCTTCGGGCGATGGCACTCGACAACAAACCAAAGGGCTATACTTCTCAACGAAAGAAAGAGACAACAAGATTCATATTTCATAATACCTAAACACTAAATAGAAAGGTGGCTGTTCAAGAAGATGACATCTCTATCCAAGGTGCAAAAGAAAGAGCACTGATATGACGATTGGCAACAGCAAATAGGAATCAAAACCTTTCACAAGAGAGTCAGAACTCTGCAGAAAAATAGCAGGGCATATTGGACGACAGGAACATCTGCTGAAAAAGGCAACTAACTACCCACGAAGCACCACCAGCTTCTTCAACTCTTTATTGCAGCAATTCTGCACAGCCAGCCATGGCCAAAGACTGCCATAAAACAACATAAGCAACTCAAAACCAAATCCCCAGACCTCCCTCATAAGCAAATAGTACAGAGAAGTAGGAGAAAATCATTCAGGTTACCTGTACATCTAAACCACTACACCCTCTTCCTTCTATATTGAGGCAACTCTTCCACAACAGAGCATCAAAATAAGCTCTCAAGAGACAGACGACGACAAGACACTAAGACAAAATTCCAAGAACCACAACAGATCTAAGACAGTAATACAGAAAGACGAGTAGGGTGAAATTGAGTAAGAGAATGGCCAAAAATTCTATTCAGATAAACTAAAAGGCCACTATGGCGAAAGCTAAGCTTTCAAGGATGCATGCTCCCCAAAGTGGAAATTGTCAATGTGCTCCACCTTTCGGAATGTATAGCTCCAGAGTGGTGCAACAACAATAGTGGAACCTTGAAACGGAAGTCGTGTAATTAAGCCCAACAATGCTTCTGGTATTGGTAACACCTCACTCTGCCTGACCAGCATTGCCTTTCTCCTGACCAACCAATGACCGCTGAGAGAGATCATACAACATCTTCTTCTGGTACTCGTTGGTATGTGGAATACTCGCCCTTAAAAGCTCCATAGGCAATTCTCTCTTGATAGCTTCAGCTGGATCTAAGCTAGAAGACTGCATAATCCCGTCGTACTTATTCACGCAATACTTGATAAGCAGACCAAAGAACTCGTCAAAAGAGGCCTTCCAAAGCGCCCGGTTTGTGACATTATAGTTGCTCGCGTCATGGAGTGAATCGCTCAACAACTCAGCACCCTGTTCGAGCACAGAAACCAAGACAACCGAAGCCCCATTTCCCGCCGAGCTGCTCAGTGGGCGCAACGGCGGTTGCTCAGAGGAACAAACCACGGCAGCAAGGCATGCACTGAGCGACCCGAGATCCATGCGGCGGACACACGATGATACAGTCCTAACCAGATTGCTCGTAGCTTCAGCTGCACGAGAGATATCTCCAAACAGAAACCTCAAATGACGGAAGATGGCCATGCAGACAACACGTAGGAGGTCGCTAGCTGGCAACAGTTGTAGATACCTAGAGAGAAGCTTCCTGCCCTTGGGAAGGGCTAATACCCTCAAGAAAACCATGTCGTCATTTCCAACTGTTTGTCCATTTTTCCCAAGTGGATCAACCAGCTGGAGAGATGTTGCTAGTCCTTCCAACAGTTCCTGCCGCCGCCTTCTCAAGTGGGTCCCACCATCAGGGAGCTGATTAAACTTGAGGAAACGATCGATATCATCGACATCTAGGAGGAGGCAGAGACCATCTTCAATTGCAACTCTAGCTGCAAGCATAGGCTCCTGCTCTAATGGCTTCTCAGGGGCAACATTGTTCTGTTCACTATTGGTAGTAGAAGAATTGGGAGGGTCCACCTCGAGAAGAGGGCGGGGCCTGCGGATGGAAGAGAAAGGAACCCTACCAAGAGCATCCACCTGCAGGAAAGCATGTGGTTCAGAGTTTACGCGGGCCCCTGGAGGTAGATCACGCAAGTGAGTTGGGCAGAAATGGTGTCTGATCTTTGTTGCACCGGATGATGATTTTTTGAAGAGACACCCCTGGTGATAGTAATCATCTACATACGGATCATTGCTGTATGTCGCAGCGAGTTGCACTCTGAGAATACCATCAAGTTCATCGGTTGACATGTACTTGGATCTGAACTGTGGCCAGCCACTATCAAAGCTTGGTTGAGGATACCGCATGTTGAACCGGCCACCTCTCTGAACCGATCTCGGTCTTTGATCTCTGAGATCGCCCATGCCGAGAACCGCACCAAAGTTTCCCATCATTGGAGGTGGTGGAGGGTGATGTGGGTTAAAGATTTGACTCTGAATACCTGCAATGTTGTCAATTCTGATTTAGATCCTAGAACCATGCGATTTTACAAGTATACCAACTTTGTTGGATCTTAATATAAAATCCGCAATTCACCAATGTTATGATTTTATGGAAAAGGTATCCGTGGAAGTTACAATTTTAGATGTGAAGCCTTGCTACGGTTAATTGTCAGGTACGGAGTTGTAGCTTGTTTTATCTTCCACTCACTCAAGTTGTGAATTTTATATTTTCATATAATATTATATGCTCTTCTACTCACTTGTGTTGGGCGATATTACTCATTCGGTCAATTATTTACAATTGGTTGGAATGCCAGTAATATGACGGCTATTTGTATAGGACATTAAATTCTTGCAACCTCAGGTTCAATCTTATCACGATTTTAAAGAACTTTCCAACATTACATAAAATCTTGATTTTAACATTCAAACCTGGTAAATGACTCAAAGATGGCTGACCCTGATGATGAAATCTCTGCTGCTGCTGCTGCTGCATATGAGGTCGCATCATCTGTGGAGGCATTAACCCATTCTGATGAGGCAGCGCATTGTTCAGCTGGTTCATGGGATGGTCTCCGGGGAACATCCCAGTTTGGTTCGCCCATTGGCCTGGTGGACGGCTGTTGACAGCTAGACCAGAGGCAAGCTGTTGCAAGTTTCTGCCATACTGTGGTGATGCGTGGTGCAGACCAGGCATCTGGAGCTGAGAGTTCGAAAAGGGAGACTGGTTCTGCGGAGACAATGACATCTGGGGGTTTCCAGAGACATGCGGGATATTTAACCGAGTGTGATTTGGTGAAGCATGTGGGGATTGTCCACTAACTTGAGGAGGATATGAAGGATAAGAAGGTTTTGGGACAAGAATCGGTTCACTTGAGAACTGTTGATGGTGTTGCTGTGGTTGCTCCGGATATGAAGATGTTCGGTACAAGTTGTTCGGATCTCCCGGCCGAGCAGAAGAGGAAAATGGCTGTGATGACCATCTGTTGCTATCTTGAGATATGTCGGGGTCAACTACCTGCTGGCCAAACCAATTAGGGACTTCTTCCCCTTGTGCCCAATCGGCAGCAGATGAACCTGGAATAGGAACATCACAATCAGTCTTTCTGTTTGTATATGAACGTATTACTAAGTTTACCCTCATTTTATATGACTACCATAATGCCAACTCATGTGGATTGTTCAGAGAAGCATAACTGTAAGAGGTTGAACAGTGAAATGATGCAGACAAGGAAGAAAGCTTGTGGCTAGAAGCTTAATCTGAATAATTGTTGACATGAGATATAAAGGAAACAATCCTTTTCATATGGTCACAGATGGCCATGCTACAATTCAATCCAAAACAAAAGCACATACGCAAAAAATCCTTTTCATATGGTCCCAGACTGCTATGCTACAAATCTATCCAAAACAAAAGTACATCAATCAGGCGAAGTATGATTGCAAATAACAAAAGATCCTAAACCTGGGGGGAATATAAGAATAGTTGCCATCGGTATCTCAATGCATCAGTTGAAGCAACTTTCACAACTGACTAGTGACTACCACAATCTAATCTCCGGCAGAAAGAAAAAAAAAAACACTTAATCATCAGTATCTCAATGCACCAAGTGAGGCAACTTTCATTAATGACAACCCCCATCTCATCTCACGCAGCTTGTTCAGAGATTCATGACTGAAATATTCTAAAAAGTATTTGATGCAGACATGCAATTGAAGAGAATGTGTAGTAGCCAACCTATAAATTTTAGTTTAGTGATCATTGACAGAGAGTCTAGGGAGGGGGGGAAAACACCTTTATTTTCATTAACTCGAAACCACTCCGAATTCGTCTAAAAAATTAACTAGTGTTTGAGAAAAATACTGGTTCCAAGCCCCTTAAACTTATAAACAGAGTCAGTCAAAATAGCAGGCGAGCTACACAAGAAGCAGTTCTATGGTTCACAATCATCATCGCGCAATTCAGTATTCATATAATTTGGATCACAAATTGAGATGAAAGACTTGAAATTGCTTTACTCACTTTCTCTTGACCCCCTCTCAGCGATTACACCAAATCTTCTTGGCCCACCTACATCATTGTTTAACTGCAAATGAAGAATCAGTTAACACAGACAATCAACTGGACTAATAATCATTTACGAAACTGGAAACACTGTCTAAAAGGAACAGTAAACAATGACAATCATGATCCCATTTCTGCATTAGAAAGCTGTATCCTAACATCTCAAGAAAATGGTGCATATTGAAAGCTAGGTCCCAGAAGACTGAAACCAGTAATACACCATAATAAAGCCGCTTCTATGGCCATCTGCAAATGGATCAGACTAACCTTTGAAAATGCACTGCTAAGATCATCAATATCTGATAAAGTTCCTAACCCGTCCCCCTGGAAATAGGAGAAACCAAGCAAGCAGATTAGATTTCAATTGTTTCTGGACCTGGACAAAATCAAGCAACTCTAACCTTACAAAGCAGAAAGCAGGGCTATACCTCTTGTCTATCA